CTGGGTCACGCAGAGAACCCGAGTCCAGCACCAGTCGGCGCCTGAGCTCTGGAGAGCTGAGCGCCTCTAGCGCCTGAGAAGTTTGCTCTCCAAGCGTCTGGTCTCACAGGGCAGGGATGGGAAGGAGTCTTTCCGGGTGGAGGAGGTGGTGGGGAGGAGTCTGGGTGAACTGCTGACTGCTCGGCACCAGCACAGTCATGGGTCAAGACTGCTCCCGACACCTCCATCCTGGGACACGGGCTGTGCATCCAGAAACTCAACCCAAGCTGCTGAGACACCATCGACCCCACTCACTTCCCCAGACTGCCCTTCTGGCCGCTCTGTGGCACTCAGAGCCACGACTGTTCTCACGCTGCTGTCTCCTGCTTCCCTTGGTTTTACTGTGGTCACTCATCTCTCTGCAGCCCTATTCTTATTAGTAATCACCTCGGGACTGCCATGAAAAAGTGTTTCCCTGTTACCTCACACATACAGCACTTATGTTAAAACCACAGAAGATGAATTCTGTAAATAAATGTTTGAGGAATGTTTGTAGCTAAATGTTCTTCTTTCCATGTGCATGGATGGCATCCCACGGACTGCAAGGTCTGTGAATCTGACCACACAGCACAGCATGGCTACGTAGCTACACATTCTCTTTTCCACGTGCATGGCTGACATTCGTGGACTGAGGTCTGTGAATCTGCACAGCACAGCGTGGCTACATGTTCTTATTTCCACGTGCATGGCTGACGTTCCGTGGACAGCGAGGTCTGGGAATCTGACCACACAGCATGGCGTGCCAGCAGCAGCTGAAGGACGGCCGCAGCTGACAGCTCTCACAGCTGCCCAACTCGCCCAGCTGTGCCTCACCTGCCTTCGCCAGCATCACCAAGGGCTACCATGTAAGTCATTCTACTAACTGGGATGTCCATGGGACCAACTCCTGGCAATAATTCAACTAGAATTCAATGACAATCCTTCCCCACTGAAATTAAGTACCTAACATTTTACGTGTAGGATTTTGTAGGAATTAGCAAATGCATACACAGCAGGAATTTAAACTCTTGATTAAGAACCTAACTAATTCCCTTAATGGACAAACAGATCCCACTCTAGGTCCATTTTAGCTCAACTTGTTTCTCTAACTCAGCCGGCAGCTTAGTCATTGAACGATGGGGCCCCACACACTTTCAAGTACAAAACAAAGCTATGAGCACACTAAGACCAAAACTACTGACAAAAGGTAAGCACAAGAATGAAGACACAGTCTACCGTTCCCTGCTTTCCACAGTCAGGAGCTACCGTCCTTCTTATTCCAATAAGACACGGTCTGCTGTTCCCTGTTTTCAATAGTCAGGAGCTACCGTCCTTCTTATTCCAATGAGACACAGTCTACTGTTCTCTGCTTTCAATAGTCAGGAGCTACCGTTCTTCTTATTCCAATGAGACATGGTCTACTGTTCCCTGCTTTCAACAGTCAGGAGCTACCCGTCCTTCTTATTCCAATGAGACACAGTCTATTGTTCCCTGTTTTCAATAGTCAGGAGCTACCGTCCTTCTTATTCCAATGAGACACAGTCTACTGTTCCCTGCTTTCAATAGCTGGGAGTTACCGTCCTTCTTATTCCAGTGGAGCATCTGTCATGACAAACGGAATTACCTAAATGAAAAAAACTAGAATAAAATGACATGGTATCTTTGCAGTATAATAAACTGACTCCAAATTTGATATAAAACAGCATGTCAATTCACACAAGCCATTTGGAATTCTTAAGAAATAACTATTTTGAAATCTGTGGTTCTCTAAGACTTAAGGCACTTAAATACTTAAACGAGAAGCTAAGAACAATCTGTCTCCTGCGGCTCCTGTTTCTTATCAGAGCCTAAAACAACTAAACAGAAAGACAAGCGCACCCCCCTTTAGCACTTCTCATATTCCTAATGCTTTCCCTCATAGAAACTCACTGATTCACCGCCTGCCCAGGTGCTCTGGGACAGAGGGGCACAGGCAGGAAGCTGCTGGCCCCATTCTCGGCACATTCGCGCCCCCATGGAAATGCTGAAGAGATGACACCACTACGGGTTGAGAGTAAATCTGACATCAGAGACATTAATGGATTGGCTATTTTTCCAACATTTACACAGACAGCAATCATTTAAAGATGACTTCCTCTGGGTGTCATTTTCACCAAGCCACTATGCCAAATAAGGCAGCTCAAGCAGATATTTTCATAACACCGACCCCACTGGGATAGACATTCCCAAGGACAGAGTCACTGAAAGAGATTTATTACAAGAAATGTTTCCTCCTAATGGGATGAGAAGACAGAATGGCTCGGGATGATGACCTCCCCTTCAAAACAAAGTCAAGCTGAAGATGAGAAAAAGTTCTGCAATTCACCCCAATCGTAACAACCTGTGTTGTACAACAAAATTATGTTTGATGAGGACAATCAGTGGCAAAAACGGCTATGAAGTCTGCTCAGAGCCTTTGCTAAAGAAAAATGTCTTACACAAAACATCAAAAGAACTTAAAAACTCAGACACAAAGAAAATTTGTATTTTTCCTTATAGATACAGATTAATATTAAGCAGGCTCCAAATTTGATATCTTCTCATAAGTTCATTTAGATTTTTTTTGTTTTTATGACCCTGGACTCCCCAGAACTACCAAGTTTTGTGTTTTTTTTTTTTTGCCTCAGCTAACACAGTTTAAATCAAACAAACATCAGGCCTGAAAGGGGTGGCCAGATCTATGTGGGGATTTACACAAAACCCACATCGAAAAATAATTAATTACAACAATTAGTCTGTCGTTACTGCAATGTGATTTTCAATTTCCATGAAAATGAAATCAGGAGCACCCCTCCGTTCCTCAAATTCAACGTGTGAAAAACTCCATTGCCCTGACCCTGCAATTCCTACATACACAAAAATCTGCATATCAATTCCTACATACACAAAAACCTGCACATCAATGTTCACAGCAGCATTCCTGACAACAGCACCATTCCTGACACCAGCCAAAAAGTGCAAACAACCCAGATGTCCATCAATTGATGATGGATCAACAGAATGTGGGCCATCCGTACCTCGGCATATCACGCAGCCATGAAAAGGAACAAATGCTGGGGCAAAAGCTACAATGTGGGTGACGCTACAGGATTCCATTTAGAGTCAAGGTCCACAACAGGTACATCCATAAGGACGGAGATGAGTTGGGTGCCGGGACTGGAGGCTGGGAGAACGGAAAGTGACTGTTGATGGACACAGGGCTTCTTCTGGGGGTAATAAAAAATACTCTAGAATTAGTCTGAAGTGATGACTGTACAACCTTGTGAATGTACTAAAAACCACTGAGACATATGCTTTAAAACGGTCAATTTTATGGTATATAAATTAGATCTTAACTGGAAAAAAAAAAAAAGATCAACTCAACCTCTCTCTCTTCCCGCCATTCTGCCATCTGAATCCTAGCAATCTGTATTAGGTAAAAGTCAATTTTTGTGGAAAACATTGTTTTCAATGTTTCAGATAAGGTTATGAGTCTTCCTAACAGGAAAACCTTTGTTCAGTAGACAAATCAACATCGAGTTGCTAGGAAAAATCAACAACTCAGACGCAGAAGCAGAAAAAACTGGAGATCTTCCTAGTAAGTAAGGAAAACACATGCTTTACAACTCCACGCACAAAGCTAAGTCTGTTTGGTTCTTTCTTTTCTCCTTACTGTAGTAACTGACAGTCATCTGGTCACTTACGGATGAAGGGCACACAGAGGCTCTCCGGGGAAGAGGGCTCTGAAAGGCACACTGGGCAGGCCGAGGGCCAGGCGGGAGGGCGCCTCAGAGCCCTGCAGGAGAGAAGCCCCCACTAGGAGTCCAAGTAGGACAAAGAGGGTCACTTCCTTCTAGATCTCAGAGGAAACGGGCAGTGCGTCATGGACCCCGTGGAAGCTGTGTCCTGCCTCTGCATCCTCTAGCCCAGCAATCTGCCTCTGAGAGCCCATGTCCAGACACGGATCCAAGAGACATGAAAAACAGCAGGCCAATGCTAGTTTCAATAATGAAAGCTTACAGGGAGCCATCCCTGGAAAGCATCCAGACCTGATGAAATAAGCAAAACTGGCTAAAAGCGACTCTGTCCATCTGCACTAACATGGAAAGATTTCTACCGTGTAGGGGAAAGAAGTGAGTTATAAAATCTTATGAAATGTGCACAAAAAAAACACACAAAAGGTTTAGAGATCTCAGAATGGTGGAATCACAAGTTATTTTCCCTTTATTCTTCATTTTTATACTGTATTATTATTTTTTTTTTTTTTGAGACGGAGTCTCTGTCACCCAGGCTGGAGTGCAGTGGTGCAATCTCAGCTCACTGTAACCTCTGCTACCCGGGTTTAAGCAATTCTCCCGCCTCAGCCTCCCAAGTAGCTGGGATCACAGGCACCTGTCACCATGCCTAACTATTTTTGTAGTTTTAGTAGAGATGGGGTTTCACCATCTTGGCCAGGCTGGTCTTGAACTCCTGACCTCATGATCCACTTGCCTCAGTCTCCCAAAGTGCTGGGATTACAGGCATGAGCCACTGCGCTTGTCCTATACTGTATCACTTTTTTTTTTTTTTTTTTTGAGACAGAGTTTTGCTGTATTGCCCAGGCTGGAGTGCAATGGCACGATCTCAGCTCACCGCAACCTCCACTTCCCAGGTTCAAGCGATTCTCCTGCCTCAGCCTCCCAAGTAGCTGGGATTACAGGCACCTGCCACCACGCCTGGTTAATTTTGTATTTTCAGTAGAGACAGGGTTTCTCCATGTTGGTCAGGCTGGTCTTGAACTCCCAACTTCAGGTGATCCACCTGCCTCGGCCTCCCAAAGTGCTGGGATTACAGGCGTGAGCCACTGCACCCGGCCACTGTATCACTTTTTTAAAAAACAACTAAATTAATTTCTAAAAAGCAAAACAAACAAACAAAAATCCTCCTGCTGCTCTGGCCAAGGAAAGAAGACGCCTGGGACGCACCTTCTGAGTTCAGGGTGATGAGGGTGACGTTGCTCCCAATGCTCTGGCTGCCCGCCTGTCCGCAGCTGGACACCGAGTCGCTGGCCTCCGAGCCGCTCTCCCCGTCTTCATGGTGGCTGTCTTCTTGGCCCGGCACCTTCACCACAATGGTGTTCTGCCGACGCCCAGGCACAGCGCTGAACGGGAAAAAAACACACCAACCCAGTGTGGTAAGAGCCACAAGCAGCACGCGAAGGTCAGTGCTTTCCTTATCACAAGATCTAACTCTGCATGGACCAGTGGATCACACAGCCTTCCCAGACCGCTCTCTCTACCAAGATTAATAGCAACTCCATAGGAGAAAATGGCCCGGGGCTAAACGAAACTGTATAAAATAAAACTTAACCATTTAAAGAAAATATTTGTATCACAAAAGAAGTAAAATCATAACTCACTGGGACTCAGGCCTAGTATGCTGCCTTCTGAGTTCAGCAGTCAACCTATAGAATGCTGGTAAGAGTCTTTTTTCAGGCGAGGTTAAAGGAAAGACTAAATCAGAAGACTGTGCCCAGAGGCCTGGGTCAATTCGATCCATGCTGCTGGGCGTGCTGGAGATGGCTCCACCTCTGCAAAGCAAGCAGCACTCCCAAGTATGCCCACAGGCAAAAAAAACCCTGAAGGGGCTTAAAAAACCCACTGAGATCCTATCGGAGCTGCCATCATCCCAAGGGCTGCTGATGTGGAAAGACAGAACACCACTAGCAAAGCAGGGCGAGGCCAGCTCCACAAGTGCTCAAAAAAAAGATGATTTAGAGACTTACTACTTCCCTTTTTTAATGACCCTTTCAACATCCCCTACCGTGGACTGCTATGCACCAGAAAAGGAAGGACCACAGTTTCTCTATTTGCGAAGTCAAAAAAAAGGGGTGCGGAAAACACTGGCCGCACCCAGAGAAGGCTGCACTCTGCACTTTCTGGCCTGGGTTCTCCAGAGCGCTGTCCATGCTGAACCTGATCTCAACACTGGCTATCTGCCTGGTTGACCTCAGCGCAAAGCCCCCGAGGCACAGCTGACCCTGGCACCTCCTCACCACCCATCACCAACTCCTCTCCCTTCACTCCACGTATCAGACCCTCGTGACCACAGCTGCAGCCCTGGAGAACTGAGCTAAGACAATACGGAAAGGGGACGAAGCTGGAGGAGGAGCAATCCACAAAGGAGACTGAGAGAAAAAGCAAATAGAACTTTGTGAAGACACAGATGGGAAAGAAAAAGCAACAGCATCCTCAGGGGTTCACGCAGCCCTAAGGGGCACTCCTGGGGAGAGCAGGGCCCGGATGCCAGCCAGACGCCACTGCACAGCCTTCCCCTCACACAGGGCAGGGATGGCGTCTTCTGTCCACTCCCACCTCTGACCCAAGTTCCGTTCAAAATGTCTCAAGAGAAAAAGGCATAAGAAAAAAGTCATAAACTCAACATGCCTGCACCACTTAGCAATCGTGGGAGAGGGTGTCTGTTTGCCTGACATGCTCTGCACAGACAGACAGACGTGAGGACCACTGAGCTAGGTGGGAGGATGAATGCTTTCACTGACTGCTGTGAGGAGACAGAGCCAGCCCCCTCCACAACCCCAGCCAGCACGAGACACAGAATTCCCCGGCGGCAGGTGCCCCCTGGTGTGGCTGGACTCAGCACTCAGCATTACCCAGCCTGCCCTCCCCGACCTCAGAGAGCTGGGGCAGTGCCTGCCAAGCTCAACCCTGTGACCACAGAGATGAAGTGCGTGCTGGACTGTGCCCTGGCTTGGGGACGTTGACTTATTCTCACGGGACTCCTCACAGTGGCAGGGAAAGGTGGGGTTGGTGCCGTGCTACTGACTTGCTAATGACATTTTCCAGGGAATCCGGTGCCCTGTTGCTCAAGGGGTCTTCCATCTTGGCTACAATGGCGTTCTGCCGATCATTGTTGAGTATTACTGTAGTCTGGGGGACGACGCTAGGGAACAAAAGAATCACAAAGAAAAAGAAGGCCTTAAAACAACAACATTCATGGTAAGAGCACATAAGAGTCATTCAACACAGTCCACTCCCAGGGACCCGCAGTGAGGGGGAGGCCTAAGAGTCATTCAACATAGTCCACTCCCAGGGACCCGTCCTGAGCGGGGAGGAGCCCCAAACGCTAAGGAAGAATAAACTGGAGATGGGGTTTTTAACAGTGTAACTTTCCTAATTGTTGGTGTTCTGTCTGCACAACTGGATAGGCTCAGGACAGCTGGGATGAGGATGCTGAGTGTGTGACACAACAGACTGCGACCACACCAGCTGTTATCACACCCAGTTAATAAAGCTTCTGGGGTGACACACTTGCATGAAAACCGGCTTGACATTTTCAGTCACTCCATCCCAACTAATTCCTATGGTACAGATCTAACGTTCGTAACCATGTAAGTGTTGGTATCGTCCAAAATGGTAGCGCCCTAGAAAGAAAGGGGCAAACATCACACTGGATTGGGATGGAAGGACACACGTGCTGCCTCCAGGTTCTGCAGGAACATGTGTGAGCCACAACCACAGGGCTCAGGGTTCTGCTTTGAAGGAAACAATTCTACCAAAGAACAAACCACAGCCCAGAAACCACCAAACCTGGTGCAACCCTGGAGGAAGCACTAGTGTGTTCAGACAGGCGGCAGCTAACACAGCTTCATCTCAAAGTGCAGACTCACCCACAGATTTCAATTGTGCGTTTTTAAGCCTTAGCACTTTCTGGTCACAAGGGATATCTAAGGTACACTTTGTTGTGGAAGGGTGGGGAGAGAAGGAACTAGCACTTGAAATCTAAAGTGGTTATCACCTGAGGATAAAACACCGTTCTTGAACTTCACTCTCCGAAAACCAACTTGGGAAGCCTGCCTTTCTGTGATTTGCACACAGGAAAATCCAGCCTAGTGTCCCTGTAACTGTCCCCACATTGAGTGCAAGCACAGCGCCATGCCATACCCAAGTAAATCACGGGTCCACAAGGTTTTCTTCCTAAAATAAAGGCATAATCAACTGCATTTCATTCAAAAATACTATTTTTAAAATTCCTCTACTTGTTATTGGTGACACCTAAAGTTAACACAACAAAACCTGATAAATGACCTACAGATCGGGTATGAAAAGCAGCCCAGGTGGCTGCTGGCTTGGTCACCACAGTCACCTACAGGCTGCAACAGTCCTATGCTCCTCAGAGATGTGGAACTGGAGAGGTTACCTGGCTTGCACGAGCTTGGTATGTTCCCCAAGTGGAGGCTATGGAACACTGGTGCCCCGGGACCCTAGGCTCACAGCATGTGGGAAGGCTGGTGCCCCGGGACCCTAGGCTCACAGCATGTGGGAAGGCTGCTGTCTCGGGATCCTAGGCTCACAGCATGTGGGAAGGCTGGTGTCTCCGGATCCTAGGCTCACAGCATGTCCACACACACATTCATTCTCTCTCTCCCCCCATGAGCAACTGAAGAAGGACGGTGCTGCTGAGGGGCCAGCAGTCCCCTAATGACTCTTCACAGTGGCCACTGGCACATTAACGGTCTGAGAAGAAAGTTTAACAGAGTAAAATGTATTCAGGCCACCATCTGGCAAGGTCATTTGACCAAATATACCTTTTTTCCCTTGAAGATCCTTATTAAGGTGAAGGAAATCATGTTCTAAGGCAACCAGCTCCCAGCTGGAATAATGTGCCCCTCGGGTGCCCCACAGCTTTCTGGGGGGCTCGTGGATACAGACAGCTCTCAGCAACGCAGTCTCCAGATCCCCACCTTCCAGAACGTCCTGTTTCCTAAAGAGGACTCTCCGTGAGCGAGCATCTCGATGTGTGTGTTCCCGTCCACGAAGCCCTTTTCCCACCTAAAAACCACCTCTGCTCTGGGCACACTGGACGCACCATCCACCTAGGGCGCAGACCCCAGGAGCCAGCACAGGCCACCTGAACACTGGCATGGTGGTGACAAAACCAGCGCCCCGCCGGCTGACTACAAAGCCCTCGGTAAGTCAGCTGGGTTGCAATCCTTTGCTTTCAACAAAACAGATGGAGATCATCAAAAACAGTTTCTGAGGACGGACCACTGAGACCCCTGGCACATAACTCAAGGAAGCTGAGGACTCCTTCCTCTCCCACATATTACTGGTGTGACCCGAGTTTCCCAGTACCCTAGAGCTACAAAAACCAAAAACAGCAGAACCAACATGGAATCCTCTCTCATCTAAGCAGTCAAAACATAATCAATCATCCATCGATACAATAATTAACCAAAAAGCCCCATCTAACTACTCAAAAATATATTCCCAGTATTTTATTATCATGAATTAGTTCTAAGTGGGTGACACAGTCACGCTGTTTTGTTCAACCACTGTAGTAGGAATTCAATCCAAAAGGGGTTTTTTTTTTTAGCCCTTAGGGCCTTATGGTTAGGAACACAAACTTTTTCAGCTTCGATTTACATCCCTGTTTCTGTTGCCCAGGCACGCGACAGCCATGCTAACAGGATGAAATTCTGTGAGGGAAATGAAACGGAAAGCAAAGTTCAAAGAACAGAAAGTGATAGAACATTCGACTGCCAAAAGCTTACTGGAGAGACGTTCAAAATGCATCATGATATTTACATTATAATGGAAAAATTTTTAAAAAAACAATAAACCAGTTTTGTTTTTAATGATCAATATTATAATGTGCTGTAAAAGTAATTTATTTTAATGTTTAAAAAACGCCAGAAACTACATGCTTTCAACTAATGCAATTTAAATCAACCTCAAATTGCAAAAAAGAATACATTTTTTAAAAATTATGGAACAGTAAGGAGAATGAAGTCCCTATCTAAGGACTGATGTGGAAAAAGTGCCACAACAATACTAAGCGACAAAAAACACAGGTAAGTACAGACACATATGTGTGTGCATTGAAATGTGTCTGTAAGGATAGTCAAGAAACTGAGAAGCAGGTCACTGAGCCTCATGAGATAGGCCCTGCAGCATCTTCACAGCACAGACAGCAGCCCACGCAGAGAAGCTATTAACCTGCTCAAGGCCACACAGCCAGTGAATGGCAAAATCAGGTCTGAGGCCAACATACAATATGTGACAGGAGCTGACATTCCTAACCAAAACCACTCTGACCCACAGCCCTCAGCCTTTCATCTGTTTTGCCATCTCCTCAGTACGCTTTAGTTTTCCACGTGGCCTTCCCCTGTACGGAGTCCTTCTGCTCATCCAGTGGTGTCTCCCAAAGTCCCTAGGAGAATGCACAGGACATGGCTGAAGACTGCTCGGGACACGGAGGAATTCAAGAGTGAGCCTCCCATTTGAGTAAAATGCCTCTCGATCCGCTGGTTCACATGCTGCTGCTCTGCATGCTGAAAGCAAAGACTGAGAATCCCGACCCAGAGCAGAACCCACCAAGCAGGGTGCCAAAAGGCAGCCTAGAATGTTCCCATCTACTGTGCAGGGTCAGTTCTGAATTCCACCAGGAGGTGCTAAACTAAAGGTGACTTAAAGTCTGAGGGCTGACTGGCGGGAGCCGGCGGCCACCATGAGACCCAGCCTGGAGTGGGCACTCGGGGACCCACCAGGAAGTAACAGTCTTCATTCTGCTGAGCTCAAGGAGTACTGAGTACTTCGTGTACATGTCTCGCTCCCAGCCATCCTGGCTATTTCACCCGCTTTACCATGAAGACACTGATGCTCAGAAAGATTAGGATCTGTCCCAGGTCTCACCACTTACCAGTGACAGAACCCGTGTTCAAAACTAAGTATTTCTCATGCTTTTAGTCACCTGCTGGACAACAACGGCAATGATCCCATTTCAACTACTGCTACAACTCACCCTTTCATTGTTTGAGGTTTTTAACTGTTTTACTTTGATGGATTTAAAACAAAACCTCTTCAGCCAGGCGCAGTGGCTCTCACCTGTAATCCCAACACTTTGGGAAGCTAAGGCAGGCAGATGGCTTGAGCCCAGGAGTCCAAGACCAGCCTGGGCAACACTGTGAGACCCCATTTCTACAAATAAAACAAAATAAAATCTTCCACTCTGAAAGCTGTCATGGCAAACATTTTCCACGCTAAGCTTATAAAGTGGCCTTCCACTTCTCTTCTGCTTCAGGGAACCACCTCATCTCGGAGCCCTAAGCACCTGCCCCATGCTCTAGGCAACTGACAGGGCGGCCCCTGTTGCTCGTGGACCACACAAAATGAAGCACATGTGAAGAGACATCAAGAGGCTTTGTTCAAGTACATGCAAAACAAGCCACCAAAATAAGACATAACATCAAAAATCTTAAGAAATGCAAGATTTAAACTATTTTCACAAATTTGTGTTTGCCATGTTTTATTACAAAAGGAAATGAAAACTAAGTTATTCTGAAGCAGAGACTTGAAAACCTACGCAATGGTTCAGAGACAATGACACGGGAAGGAGGAGGAGAGCAACGCTGAGGACCAGCGCCCAGCCAGTACCCGAACGAGGGCCCAGCAACGCTGAGGATCAGAGCCCAGCTGGCACCCAGACGAGGGCCCAGCAACACTCAGGACCAGAACCCAGCTGGCACCCAGATGAGGGCACTGTAACACTCAGGACCAGCGCCCTGCCAGCACCCAGGACGAGGGCCCAGCCAGCACTTCAGAGCAGCAGAACATCTGACCCATGCAGCCAGGGAGCAGAACCCGAGAGCCCTCGCAGCGGAGGTTAGCATCGGAAGCCAGCTCCAACTAAGTGGCTCAGGCCGCTGAGACGCCGGGGGGGTCCCGGTCTAAGACTGTGGCTAGGCTCCATGAAAGCTGTCGAATGCGGAAATGACGGGGCGAGAGAGTCACCTATCTGCAGCGATGACTCCAGACACCACCGTGGGTGCCTGCTGGACACACACCTCTGCCTGGGCACAAATGATCACAGGACGGAGAAGAGACACAACTCTGTTCTCCGCCTAACCCTCAACTCACACAGAGATGCCGAGAGGACAATCT